GGGGGGGGGGGGGGGGTTCAACTGCAAAACACATTTAAATACAGCCCCAAATTACAGCCCATTGCGCACAGAAAGCTGCCTAATAATATAAAAAAATGCTACATTATAGCTTCTAAACAAACGTCTTTGTGATTGATGCGGCACTCAAGGGTCAGGAAGGAAAATCCAGTCACGGCGGAGAATCATTTTTCATTATAAGGACGAGACAGGAGGAGGTGATGGAGGTCAACAGAGAGGATGTCAACAATGCACTTTAGGAAAGGACGGCGAGGAGCCTGCAGTAAGGCCTGTCACTGCCTTATCTAAACCACCTTCAGTGGGGCTGCAGAGCGCGGGCCGGTGCATTGTGGGGGCAGTTTATAGGCCTGCAGCGTAAAATGAAAAGAGTCCCAGAGGAGGAGAGAGGAGCTCCTCCGGCTGGAAACGCTGCCAGTGCGCGTAAAAGGCGCACTGAAAAAGGCCCAATTATGGAATTATTAGTGCATTGTGCCACGTTGTGTTTGAGGTATTTTAATGTTCAGCTCAGTATTAATTAACATGGATTTAAAATACACACCGCCCTGAGGCACCGCACATCGAGGAGCCTGCAGATTTCACCGCAGTGAAGAGCTTCACAAAGACGAGTGTCAACCTGATATAGCCCACATCTCGCGTATTAAATGTTTGGCAGAAGGATTTAGAGTTAGCAGGCTGAAAAGCACCTGAACACATCTGGAAGCCTCAGTAGATTCACACAGAATTCATTTTTCATAGTGAGGAGGAACTATTTTCTTGCACAGACACCAATTTGGATTTTTAAGGCCAACTTAACACTGCAGCTAACTTTTTTTTTAAATGTCACGCATAAAAGCAAGATTATATTCTTTGACTTGTTGTATTTTATTAAGCATATTTGTGCAGCTGGAGCCAAAACGATGTCTAAATATTACAATTTCACGCGGTCACACATATAATCATATAATCATGTTATGCACAAAATCCCAGATTATATTATTATTATTAGTCTCCCAATATTAAATATACATTTGTTTGTGGCCTCAAAGCCTTTTTTAAATGAGTAAAATGATGTAGCTTGTATAAAAAGCGTACAATAAGGGGATTCAAACACTGAATATTGGATTACAGACTGAAGGCTTTTAACTTTAAACAGAGAAAACATGTGGCCGCTCCGAGCATAAAGCAGGTCCGACTGTAAGAGTCTTTCACACACTCTGAGCTGTGTGTGTGTGTGTTCAGCTGAACTCTGCTGTGTCTCAGTGGGGCTGAATCCCTGCAAGCAGAAGCGGTGGTTGAGATCTTTTTCGCTCGAAGGTTTCTGTCTCATATGCTGGTTTTTGTTTTTGAAGCATTCACGTCCTGAAAAACACCCACAAAGTCCTTCTGAACTAAATGCTTGATCTGGTAAACCAATTAAAAAGCCTCAGAGGATCATTAAGCACCAAGGGAGGTGGAATTAAATGTTAAAATGTTTCACGGTGATGATTTGTTTAGAGAGCTGATATCTGGATGGATTTAAAAAGTAAAGTTTACTCTTCCAAAAAAAAAATCTACAGTCTGAATTATTTACCACTTTGAGACTTCCCTCACGGCCAGCTTTAGATTTTTAATTTAAAAAACACTTATCAGATTTATTTGGGAGAGCTGTGGGCAAAAATCTAAACCCGTAATAGAGTCAGATTGCTATCATTTGCGTTGTGTCCTGAGACAAATGAAAAACCAATATATATATTATATATAATATATATAATATATAATAAGCACAATATTTAGTGATTCGGACCTATTATATAAAGTGATGTAAACACCAGTAGGTGCTCTCCAGCAGGCCTATAATAATATTAGTAATAATACATAATGATACAGCACTAAATATGAATATCTAATTCAGTTTAATCAGAATCTGTTTCTGCGGGAATCAAATGATATTTTACAGTAAAAGTAAAATGTGCTCATAAAAAAGGTTAGAACAAAAGGTTTCTCTCTCTCCTTTATTCCCCTCATTGTCCATTATACTGACAGAAAAACAATAAAGCAATATTCTTATCTCACAAGGACTTATGGAATCCGTGGCCACCCTGTGAGTTTAAATTGAGCGTTCAGCTGTTTAATCTCCTCTAAATGTTTGTTTAGCTGCACAAAAAGTTTTAATTTCTTTACATTCGTGGTCCAAAATCCAGATCAGCTCTGCTTTCTCCTAGTGCCAGCAGAGAACCTGATCACAAGCCTGGCCTAATTGTTGTTGAGCGGTGCGCGGTGCACCTGCGAGGGGCTCCAGGCTCTGTGTGTGTTTTCTGCTCTCAGCGCGGTTTCAGGGGCCCAAACAACCCCAGAGCCACATCTGGTTCCAGTTTAGAGTCCGCACAGACGCGGCTGTCCAGGACGATCACAGGGAGACTTTAAATGTCCTGTAGGTGTTGTCCCAAAAACAGACAGAGGCGATCCCCACCCTCCCCCAGACCGCTCACTGAGACCTGCGGGGATCCGTACAAGCCGAATGTCAAACCGCTCGACCCCGAAATAATACCGACGGTGCAGAGTAACGGAGTACTTTTACTCAAGTATTAAGTAGAATTTAGTTTTTTTTTTCTGCTGCTTTTTTTTTTTAGTTTACCTCCGCTACATTTAAGAGGGAAATGCGGATTATCACCCCATTATTAATCTGACAGCCTTTACAAATTAAGATTTTGTAAATAAAATTGAAGCTTATAAATGTGATGCTCTGTTGTAGATACCCAACAATAGACATGGAAATAAAATGAGCTCCACCTCCACCAGCTACATTAAAATACTGTTTAAACTTCCATACATCAGTAATAATAACCCAATAATAAAATGAATATGAATAAACACTGACAGGAGGCATTCTGCAGCATTATGAGAACTTTTGTTTTTGATATTTTTTGTTTATTTTGCTGATAGTAGCTCAGTTTTCCTAAGGGATTTTGAACGCAGGGCTTTTACTTTGTAACGGAGTATTTTTACATTGTGCTGTTGCGCTTTTTTACTTCGTTTAAGTGTCTGAATACTTCTTCTACCACGACTAAATCCACAAAAATACTGGCATAAGCAAACACAGCCAGCTATATGGTATTTCACTGATAGGCCCAAGAGGCGCTATTAAACATAATGACTGATATTTAATATAATGTCTGCATTTAATTAATTTACTAATCGAATAGGATTAGTAAATATATATATGTAAGGAAACGAACCTGTCTGACTTAAAAATGAGTATTTTAATTGCAGTCACGGATTTATTTTTGCTAAAGAGAAAAATCTTGAAAGATGAGTAATATTCACGTGTTTCCATGCAAACCGCACTGCTTGAAAAAACCCATCAGATCCTCTCACAGCAGTCTGAGGGCTTCACAGTGTAAATCCACTGCAGACAGGGACAATATTTAGCTTAGGAGAAAGACAATTCAGTGGCGATGGCAAATGTTTTCACTGTATAACGACTATCATCAGGACCAGAGC